CCCCTCCTGGATGTGTGCCAGAATAATTTTCTCGAACATAATTTTTGTTACAATGGCTTGTTTCACTTTGCTGGCTTTAGCTCTGCCCATATTAGATGCAGTTTTTCAGCATCCTGGTATAGCTGTACCTGCAATCTACACTAGCCCAGACCTTAGTATGCTTCAAGGTAGTAGCACTACAGTAGCAGTAAGTCAGGGGTGAATTAAAAAAGCAAGAATGTAGACTAAACATCAGACGAAATGGCTTCTGTAAATGTGTAACAGACTGCCAAAGATAATGTTGGCAGCCTGATTGTGAGCTAAAAAACTAGACAAAGACCATATTATTGACAGTACGTTCAAAGGGAACATTAGATTCCTGAAAGAGAAAGAACAGTTTGGTTACCGGAGGGGAAGGGATGAGAAGACTAAATACAGTTTTTCTCACTGTGTCACCTCTGCTGCAAGGTTTCCAAGCTTCAGTGACAGCTCAGGAGCTGCCCAGATATATACCCGCTGATGGACTTGCCCAGTAACTCTTATGAACAGTACATAAATAGCTTTATGCCCTTTACAGAGTAAAGCCTTGGGACTGCACAAGTTTCTTTTACTTTGCACCTCTCTGTCTAGACCGCTTCTTCCCCACCCTATGTTTTTGGCTCTGCGTGGAGAGCCTTTGTGGTCACAGTCTATTTCTGCCATGGTCAATTTATTACACGCACATTTGCTTCTTCTGTGTGACAGTAATCTCTCCTGACAAGCCCTTCAAATCTTTGTCTCTGAGTCCTGGTTTCTGTAAGTTCCTGCCCTTACTGTGGAGTCCTTTGGGGCAGTTTTTTGGCTTCCACTTTCTTCCGTGAGCCTTAAATGAGAGGGGCCGACAGCAAATGAATGGGTGTTTGTATCAATCTGAGAAAGGAGGCAACAGCCACAGGCACACAGCTGGGATGGGCGGGTGGGTGGAGAGGGCTGGTGCTTTCAACTGCAGGCAGGGACATGAGAGCTGGGAGGGGCCTGGGCTGTGTGCGGAGCAGGCACTGGACTGCCGGGCTCCGTCTCTGCCGCACACAGCAGCTCTCTGCCGCAGGGGGGGAATAGATGAGGTGTCTTTGCAGAGCAGAACACCCACACAAGGAGCAGAGACGAGGATGAGCTGCAGAAACTAGGTGTTTCAACTTCCTGGACCAGTCAGTGGAGTAAACTTGACAGGTCGGGCTCCCCCACCCAGCCACCTCCAAACATCTGGGCACATCTGGGTCTGGAGCTCCTTGCTGCTGCTTCCTGCCTGCATTTACCACAATGGAATTTAATGGCTGTTTCTCTTCTTGCAACAGTAAGTCAGTAATGGGACCGTACAGCATTTTCAGTGCTCCTTCTGACTCATCCAGGGGGAGAGTCTCGTGTGTGAATGTGTGTGTGTGCACGCATGTGCATGTATGACACTGTGTATGTACAAAAAAACCTTTATATGGAACCAATGAAGCATGAAACTAATATTACAATGACATACGCTTGCTCAAATGTCACACCAGGGAAATAAGTGTTCTTCCAGTTTTACTGGGGCTATTTTTATATGTTGGAGGGCGTTTCATGTGCTAACATAAAGGCAAAAATCTAAAAAATGTATGATTCTGATCTTCCCTTCGGGGCACACTCATCTTTCTTCGTTGTGAGAAGGAGAAACTATCTGTCAAATCCTTAGCTGGTGCAAACTAGCATAGCCCCGTTGCCAGCGGAGGAGCTATGACAGTTTATGCCAGCTGAGGATCTGCCTCCCAGGTACCGTAAACACATTTTAAAAACATATCTAAAAATAAAAGACTCTTCCTGCCTTCCAGTGAGTGCATTTGTCTCGGATGGTATATCTGGGTTGCTTGCCTGATAAACAGGATACTCTGATTCCCTCCCTTAAGTTTAAAGTGTCATTCTGTTACCCCTTCTCCTTATTTTGTTCTCCATAGTGAACAGAAACAGCTAAACACCATGCAGATCTATGGATAATGCACTGTAATGAGAGACTGTGCTGCAGCAATAATTGAAAGAACTTAACTGCCTTTCTTTTTCTTAATGGGTGGATGCTCTCTTATTATGATTTACTATAAACTGAAATGAGTATAAACATAGATATCGAGCTGCCTTGCATATCTATGGCATGCAATAGGACCAGTCATCATCAGAGACAGAAATCTGAGGAAATCTCCCAGGCTCAAGAAATCTGTCCTGGGACTTTCCCAGATGTTAGCAGTTCATCAGCGAGGTAGAATGGAGGTTAATGTTCATCATTCTTCATTATGCTGCTCATTAGGGAAAAGAAAGCTGAGAAATTCATCTGGAACTATTAGAATTATTCCCATTCTGACTTGTAGGTCATGGTTTAAATGAATACTATTTCATCTTCTGGGGTCAGGAATTGGCAGCTGGTTGTTAGAAAAGTTTCCAGTGGCTCTTTGGCATCCTACACTTCCATGAGAAAAGGCCCTTTCATGCATGCAAACAAGCATTCCAAATTAGCCTGATGAGTAAAGTTACCCACGTGCTTCTCTCTTTGTAGGATCATGTTCTTGATACTTAACTGCTGAAAAAGATTTAAGCTGTGTGTATGTAGAAGTGTCAGTCATTTGGGCACTGTGGTTATAGGGTTGTTGTAAAAAAATGTTTCTAAACCTGTGTTCAGTGTCGAGGAGGAGGATGGGGGTGATGAGATGATAATGTATCTGGTATATCACAATGTTAAAGTAATCTGGCAAAACAACACAAAGAGAGGGTCAGCAGAATGAGCTGGGAAAACAGTTCTGAGCTTGGCAAGGAATCCACTGCTACTACTTATAACAGCCAAGCGATCTTCCAAACTGAAAGAGCAGGCATACTGTAGTAAAACCATATGACAAGTTATTGAATGTGCTTGGTGAAGGAATACAGGCTGCTTTGCTTGAGACAGGTCTGAGTCTTGGGGTGACAGCTGAATGCAGCTGGTCAAGTTTGCAGTCAGTAGTAACAGGGTAGCCTCACTCCTTTAACCTGTCTGTATTTCATGCTTTGCATTTGTTTGGTTCAGCCACAATGAGATCTCCTCTTTTTGCTTGTTCTGCAAATTGCCCTTCATTTTTCTTAATGTATTGTGCATAAATCTGCAGGGCTCTGCAACCAATTAATTGCTTCTCTTATGCTTCCTCATATTTGGCATATCATTCAGCCTGTGCCCCCCTTTATTACGTAATGGATAATTATCATTCCCAAGTTCATTGGCTCAGACATGAAATGCGTCATCTCTGAAAACCCACAGTCATGGTCAAGGAATGCCATGGTGTTCTGCCGAAGCAAAGCATCTGGGCTGAGACTCAGCTGTTGAAGGGTTACAATATTTCTGAAATCCTCACTGAATGGTCCAGTTTCTTGCTTTGCACATCCTTAGCAGGGCTCTGAGCATTTTATCCGTGCTGGTTTAAACTCTCAACCTGGAAGCCCCCCCCGTCAATCCTTAAGTGACGTTCAAATTGATTTTGTGGCATGGGACAGACTCCTTTTAGAGTTGAGCATCACTGAGTAAAAGGGGTCCTGATGGGTCATCTGCCCCCTCCCCATATCTCCCCAAAGGTTTAGGGGTCAATCCCAGGAGCTTTTTCAACTCCATGTGCTCCTTTCCTTTTTCATGTCCTTGTGACAAGGTATTATTTAGCAGATTCATTGAAACCTGACAGGACTGCACTGTGAGTACTTCTGCTATAGCCTTGAACTTGTGATTTCTGGGCTGTAGACAAGGCACCTCCTTAGCACCCATGCTACTCTAGCTACTGTTTCCTTGAGGTGAAAGGGTAGCATGAGGACTCCTTTGAGACTTGCCGTGAAAATGAAGAGCATTAGACTAGAAACCCATACATCACTACCTTCCAGAGGGGCGCTGAGCAGTAGTATCAGCAGCGATGGATCAGGTCCAGGATCAGGGCCGCAACTGGACAAAAATAAATGGGACAACAATTCAGGCAGGGCAGGGTGTGGAGGGAGCGGCAGGATGGCTGCTTGGGCGAAATGGGTTTGAATGAGGAACCCAAAGCGGGGGAAGGAGGATACCTGGTAGACTGGGAGGCTGCTGCATGCAAAGGAGCAGCAGAAGGGAAGAAAGAGAACAGGAGGAAGAGAACTGGCGGTGAGAGGGAATGAGAGCAGAGGAAGAGATGAGACCAAGAAGGGCATGGGCGCCCAGGATGAGGAGCTGAGGTTTCTGCACATAAATGTCAGGTCTGGGAGGCAGAGCAGCCAAGGATGCTGGGCCAGAGGACAAGGTCCTTGTCGAAGCAAGAAGTGATTGTGACATAATCGTGTCACCCATGGTAGCGCAGGAGCCACAGAGGAAATGCTCTTAAAGAAGCCAGGCCAGTTTACTTTCCCAGCTTTTCGTAATTCTACAAGTTAACAGACCTATTTTTAAAAACGCACACCGGAGAGTGGAGAAATGCTAATGTTTCCTTACCAGATCACTGGCTTCAAAACTTTTCTTCCAGTTTCAGTGCTTTTAGAGACTCAATGAGATCAACAAAAAACAAGTCATGCTTGACATTGCTAGAGCGCAGGGGGAAAATAGAGGTCTTGTCATGCTTTCTTAGAGTTAAAATATATCTGAACAGTTTTAATCTAACACTTAATGGCAACCAGAATTTATTTTTGGATTGCAGATAACATCTCAGTGCCAAAGAGTCTTGCTGGGAAAGGTTACGAGCAGTTTTAGAAAAAGCCTATGCAACTTGCCTTTGACTATTGCTCTCGCTATAAATAGATTATCAGTGTAATATGTCTAGAAATGTGTCAACAATATTTTCCCAGCGAGTGGGCTGAATGCAACATTGTCACTGTGCACTGGTGACTGTTGACACCTTGTCATTTCTACTCGAGGGGCATCCTGTTGTCCTGACACAACATCCCCCCTTCCCTTCTCACCCCAGGTACTGCACCAGCAAGTAAGGTATTTCACGGGTAGGTTTATTTGTGTGCATTCAGCTTTGAAGCTGAACTTGACTGTGCACAATGATGGGGGAGTCGGTATCCTGAGGTCTGGTTTTCATTTCCTAATTCAACTGAACTTCAGTCAAAACTGCAGTTTCACATAACTCCCAGCCAAAGCCACGCATAGATCCCAGGCGTGCATGGAAACCCTTGTCCCAAATCCACCGAAAGATTTCTGAATCCTTCTGTGAACAAAGGCTACGTTTCAAGTTGGCGTTAAAATCCAAAGGCAGGCAAACATTTTCCAGCTTTACCCTGAAGTTTTGAACTGCAGCCATGCTCTAAATCTGATCTGGAGGAAAACATCCTCATCCTCATGTATTGGTAGGGCAGTAGTGTCCAGGAGCTCTGGGAGCACCTTTATGTTAGGGGCTGTATGAACACAGGACGAACAGATGGTGCCTTCCCCAGGGATAAATATAAGACAAGAGCCAGCCAATGGACACAGAAACTCGGTGGTGCAGTATGAGGAGACAGCTTTATCAGGATGCTGAAGGGTGGGCTAAAATACTAGCTGCTGTCAAGTTTGCATGCATCCCAGCGAAGGACAGCGCTAGAGATGGATCTGAATGAAAACAATGAAATGATTTTGCAGGGGTGTATGGAGAATACGTGGGCAGGCCTTCATCATAGGACACATCTATCAGCACTAACACCCCTAAGCCACGTGTTAGCTTGGGGGCGGGAAAAATATGGCCTGCGGGCCAGATTTGGCCCACCAAGCACTTTCATCTGGCCCGCTGGGCCCCCCAGCAAATTATGCCCTGCTAGTGCTGCCATCTCTGTTTGAATCTATTCCAGGACGTGTCCAGAACGCCAGTGTGCCCACGACATACAATACAAACATGCCTACATGCTTGTGGATATCAGTTATGGATTACAGTGTGCTGACTACGTCAGGAAGGCGAATGCACATAACAATTACATTTTAAAAACCCACTGGACTACTGCATAAAGCAGATTCAACATTTAATATTTATTTTAATGAATGCCGCATCATTTCTCTCCCAGGTGACTCCCAGCAGTCTCCTGGAGATGTATAGTAAATTCCTGGAGACTCCAGGGCAGTCCTGGAGAGCTGGCAACCCTATGTCCCACCCAGCCCTTCTGCCCACAAGGGTGAGAGTACATGTACATGCTGCCCCCAAAACATACCCTATTGCCTGACTCCCACCCTCATGGGTGCAAGGGCTTGGCCGGCCAATGTGCAATTTCTGTGCGTAGCTGCTGCTGCAGCTCCCAGGACCTGCTCCGCTTCCCTGGTCTCTTGCTTGCTCCCACCCAGCTGCAGCGGGGCCCTGGCTGCAGCTGGGCAGGAGCACGGAGCGTGGGGCT